GAGAGAGAAAGAGAGAAAGAAAGAGAGAGAGAGAAAGAAAGAGAGAGAGAGAAAGAGAGAGAGGGAAAGAGAGAGATAAAGAGAGAGGGAAAGAGAGAGATAAAGAGAGAGAGAAAGAAAGAGAGAGAAAGAAAGAGAGAGAGAGAAAGAGAGAGAGAGAAAGAGAGAAAGAAAGAAAAGTGAAAAAGAAAGAACCGAAGTGGCTAATGACCATCTTTTTGCCACTCTCAGGATTTCTCTCCTGTAGAATGCCAAATAAAGCGTAGTTTGTGTTTTTTTTTTTTTTTTAAAGTTGCTTTTTAGAGTAAGGCTTAATAATATACATTCAATTTAGACACTTTCTTTTTTTTCCTTTTCTATTTAGAATGACTTTTCCCGTAGTGACTGCATGTCGAGTAATGAGACCAGTTTGCTAGAACGAACCACAGCACCTCATGATGGAGTACCGATGGCTTCCCATAGACCTCAGCGGGAAGGTATGTTGTCTGTGGTTCATTTTGAGGAACACTAAAATTTGCCTGGAGTTTTAGAAATCTTGTATCTGTCTTGGTGTTAATCTGAAAGAGAAGTAATCTGCAATGATTCTAAGTATAATATCTTCTCTGCTGCGTCCTTGGTCTTTTCTTTATTGTAACAAATTGTCATTCCTGTCTACTGCTAACTACTTGTGAATGAAAGCATGAAAATTGATTGCAAAGGGGCTTTCCACTGAAAAAAGGGATGAGATTATGGAGAAAACAAGAACATTTAATGCAATTGTATTAATAGTGTTATTACAAGTATTTAGATTTTTTTAAGCAAAACTAAACATGAAGATAATGTGAAACAATGGATAGATTTTGCTGCTTGATTCAGTTGTATTTGATTAATAATAAAAAAAACCCCACCCTTGTATTATAAACTCGTATATAAAACTACCAGACAGGAAGTTTTTATAGAAGTGGCAGTTTGGAGAAGTGCGAACCTTTCATAGAAGTCTATCTTTTGGCTCTGTTGGGGAGAATGAGACCAAGGCTTCTGAGCGTAAACAACTCTAATATGCAATTGCCAGCACCATTTCTTCTCTTTGAAGAAATAAGCATTATTGAAAACAGAGTTATTCATACCCTTTATTCTCCAACAGGATCAGCAGATCACTTGTCTACTCAAAATTAGTCAACAGATAGTCTGCAGATAGTAAAGAGCTGACAATATAGGAAAATGGTTGCTATTTATTTTATCCTCATAAATGTCCTTTTCTCTCTACTGTGGAGATTTAATTGCACTTTGAAGGCAGGCAATTTGAGAGTTTTTGATTCCTTGAATTAAAAGAAAAGCAACAGAGAAAGATTATGGCAGATTACAGACAACAAACCTGTTTCAAATCCTTTTACGGAGTTCAAAGTGTTCATATTCACGAATTAGAAACACAAAGGGAGAATCTCTTTAGTAACACTCTTGAATTAAGTAACAGAAGCACAGAAAGGTTGAATAATTTAATCTAGCAAAAAGCTTAAGTATTCCTCTGCATTTGTATTATCATGGTGAGAAACCAGAGTGAAGGATCAGAATACTTTTGTGATATTTGCTATGCAGTTATGTGATAGAGAGTCCCTGCTAACAGAAATCTCCTTCCTGGGTTTAAAATGCCACTGATAGTAAAACTTAGGTTTTATTGTCAGCTGTGGTAAATATGAGTTTTAAAAATCTTGACTTAGACTTAAAATGGAAGCAGTGTCATGTATACATGCTTGACTTAATCATCCTGAATGCATGTGTTGTGTCCAGAATGGATGTGGAGATGTAGCATGCCTCATTGGCTTGTATATTTAGACATTTCTGCTCGGTCTAGCCATTTAGAATATTTAAAATGTGATTGTGGAAGCAGAATTTTAAAGCAATCTCTTGATGCTCTGGAGCTGAAACTGTGCAGCAGCAACAGTGTAATTACCTGTTGTATCGCATATTACAGTGAAGCCTGCAAGAACAACATAAAGAAGTTAAGAGTGTTGAAGGTACTGCATTGTGATATAATTTTTTTATACCAGAGGACAAATTTTCAGCCCTGGGAACATTCAATAGTTTAAAATAAGCACAGTCTCATTAGAGAAATAAAACTTGTCTGTGAATGTTAATGATGTTAATGGTCTTAGATTCCTAATTAAGTATGCTAAATATATGCATGTAGTGAAATGCAATTTAAACCGCTATTCTCAGTTCCAGTCATGGGAATCAAGTTTTTAGTTAAGTTATGAATATGAACTGTGGTATCAATTGTAACATTAGCCATTAAGAAATTTTACTGCACCAAAACTCACGTTGCACTGTGGTTCTTCTTCTAACAGCACTTTAATCTATACCAGACAGGTAAAAATTGAGGTCACTAAACATTTGTCTTTTCATAGAACATTGATGTATGTTACTGTCTGGCATCCTTAGCTCATCTCAGGTTTCTTTGCTTTGTAATGATCAATCTTCATTAGCTGCTAAAAATGAATTGATTGTCTAGCTCTTTAACTCCCAGATAGAAGATTATCAGTATATACTAGCACACTCAGTAGTTGTCTGTCTTTCTGCTGACAGAATTGGAAGCTGTAGCACTATCACTAGACTGATATGCTGGCTTATTGTTCCTTTAAGAAAATTGCCAATATTTAGTTCTCTTAGAAATGGCGTGTTTGATGGGGATAAGACTTTAATTGTAACTTCAACAAAATTAATTAAAAAGCGTTTACCTTGTATTACATGGTAATATCCAAGAATAAGCTTTGTAACATACGCTTACAGGAGGTTTATTTTTTTAAGAAAAAATATTGTTGTTATGAGTAGTTCCCAAAAAACTGCTTAAAAATAGTAGATAAAAATCAAAAGGAAAACATTAGCTAT